AGATGGTTGGGGCTCTGAAAGAGGTTCCTGGGACTCTTTAAAAAGTGTATCAGTAAAGTTTTAGTGTTTCTCCTTCTATTCCTGTTAAAACAAGACAGTAAATTCAATTCAAATCCCTTTCGCCTCTCAGCAGGTGACCAGCTTTGATACAAGACATGCCTCAGCTCAAAGCATTACGTCATCGTTAGAGTGTGTGTGTGTGCGTGTGTGTGTGTGTGTGTGTGTGTGTTGGTGTGTGTAGAAGAAAACCTGCCTGCTTTGGGCTGAAGTCTAAAAGCGGCACATTGTCCAGGATTTAAATTTCACTCTCATTAAAGGAAACTCACTTCTATTCAGAGCGGGAGTGTGTGTGTTCCCCACAGTTTTCAACTGGCAGATGGACACACACACACCCACACACGCACACACACACACCCACACACGCACACACACACACACACACACACACACACACAGACACACACAGTAGACAGTAGATCAAAAGCTCTTTGTGTCTTTATTAAAGCTCCAATCAGGAATCAAACCCAACCGAACATCAACCAGTTTGTGTGTGTGATTGTGTTTGATTGTGTTTCGGGGGGTTTCTATCTGTCTTCATCAGGGGCCGAGCTTTCCGGGAGAAGCAGGAATGCCGGTCTTCCAGAAGACGTGGGATTATTACCCGGCTGCTCTCTGGTTGTGTCTCTGGCAGATGTTGTTGGGCTCAGTTAGCAGAAGGAGAGCCTAACAGGAGGCTCACTGGTGGATGAAGTTACTGGTTTTGGGCTTTGTCTTCACATCTCACCCGGCAGTGTCGTATTTAAACTCATTTAACACACATCAGTGGCAGCATTTTCACCCTACAAAGCAATACCGGGGTGAAAAATAAAAGAGAAAGCCAGCAATATGTTGTGTTCCCTCTCATTATTCTGGGGTTAAAGTGTCCACAGACTGTCCCAGGATGTTCCTCTCAGAGCCCTATTGTGACATCACGCCTCATTTCCTTTGTCAATGTTTGATTTTATTCTTCTGCATCTGATTTTGGAAATAATCAACCTTTGTAATGAAGCAGAGAAGAAGAAAACACGATGTTATAGCAGACAGAAGACAGCAGGGGGCCCAAAGCAGCCTCTCTGAGAGTCAGGAGCTCCAGTTTGTCCTCAAATGTCTTCAAAAGCAAAGTTCCTCCAAGAAAGATTTCCTTATTCTTCCCTCTACAGAGCAGGATATCATTAAAGCCTCCGAGGAATCTGGAGGATTTCAGGGTGTAAAAGGACAAGACTGAGCAAGCCTGAGGTGGGCTCTGTGACCTCTGACCCCTCACCAGAACACAGATGGAGGTTAGTTTGGAAACCTCTGTGAGCTCCACAGAGATACTGAGGGCTCTCCAGCCCCCCGCCAGGGGGTACCCTCCCCCCCCCCCCCCCCCTCTGGGCTCGGGGCCTCTGGGATGGACCACCAGACGGTGGAAACCTGGACTGTGCTCCAACCAATCAGCATCCAGAGCTTTGTGGAAGAACTGGAGCAAAAAGGAGCTCCCAACTTCTCCTAGCTCCTGTGAGCTAGGAGAAGTTTTCTCAGACTTTACAGCACCAGGTGCTGCGTTCAAGGACACGTTGTTTCTGGGAAAAATCACATTCTGCTCACAGGAAGTATAACTGTATAACTTAGGACTTGTTAGCAGGAAGAGGGGGACAGAAGAACCCCGGAAAGTCAGAAGTTCTCTGAGAGTCGCGGTTCAAAACCTGCAAAAAAACTTCATTCCTCAGGAGAATGTGGTAAAAACACGTTTTCCTCATTAACTCATCAAAAACCATCCATCCTCTCATCTTCTTCTCTGGTTTTATTGATCGAACCAAGCATCCCTCTCAGGAAATGAGCTTCAGAGTTTACTTTCTCCTTCTGTCAGTCTGTCTGTCAGTCTGAATGCCGCCATCTGTCACCGTGTGTGTGTCTGTGTGTGTGTGTGTGTGTGTGTGTGTGTGTGT